CAGGAGGGCTGTTATATAAAAGGCGCCTTTTAATGTAACAGTAAAATTAACTATTAAAATTTAAATTGAGATGTTACAATATCTTTTTAGTTAAAATATATAAGTAATGTTAAAATACTAGTACAAGTATAAATTTCATTATATGTATGGTTGTATTGGATTATATTGAGTTTTGAAATCAAAATGTCTCCCCCTGTTATTTCTTAAATCAAGGGTTTGAGGGTTGAAATTGTAAAATATGTGATGTCTAATTGTTGTGGTATGTTACATAGCTTGTCCTAAGTCTATTGAGTGTGGTATAAGGGTTGGTGTGGGCTTTTGACATTTTGATTGAGTTTCAGACACACTAGTTGTGTTTTAAAAACATAAATGAGTAAGTTTGTATTTTGGTATCTAACTTTTGATTGATAAATGATTTGAATGCAAAACTAGTGCGATTAATTAGAGCTTAGAGAAAGCTTTCTGTAATATCTAGATCACTTCAATCGGACGTCAAATGAAGATTTGGTGTACATTAAAAGTTTGATCAAAAAGTCCGCCATGATAGCTTGTTACTGCTATCATGGATTTTGCTATTTATGCCGCTATATAATTGTGCCAGATTTTATTTTTACTATTTTGACTTTAGTTTGATATTATCTTACCTTATATGATGTCCTTGCTTCCATATGCATCTTTTGCTTTAATTTTTTTAAATGACTTTATAACATTTTAAGTTTTGAAAACTTGAAATCCCATTTATAAAAATTTTACAAAATTGGTAATTCATTTAGGTTATTCCTGTGATCACCTTAATTTTATGGAGTTAATTATAGATAAATAAGGGTGACCTTACATTTACTCCTTAAAATACCAACTTCTAAGGCTTCTTCACAAGCTTGAATAGTACCAATTTAGTTAATCTACAATTATATTACAAAGATAACATCATTACCCCATATTTTTAGCAATTTCCAATATCATAACTTCACATGATCCCTTTCATTATAGTCATAAACTCACTCTCAATCATACCCAATGAGTTTTTTTGATCCCAACAACTCACATTGTCATTAATGAACCATTAAACCACTTTTAATGGCTATCAAATACTCTCAACAACCTTATTTATTGCTATCTTTGAGTATTAATGATCTCCAATAACCAACATCTTATAAAATCATAAATGTGAGGTTTAAATACTCTAAACATCTTTCATTATATCCATTTCAGTGAATGGGTTCGAACCTATAGTTCATATAGATAGAAAATTATTTTTTCAACTTAAACCCTGACTTTAACTTTCATGAAAATAGAAGGAAAGAGGAAGAGGAAGACATAATATACTTACCTTGCAAGGTAGGAAGCTCCAAAATATCTCTAATAATCGCCAAGTACTTACCATATCAATGCAAACCTCATGCCTTTTGTTTTCTCCTTTTTCTCTCTTCTGTTTTTCGCATAAACACGAACTAGTTTAACCAAAATTTAGGCTGTGCACCACGGCACCCACAACCCATGTCGTGGTGCATCGCATAGAGGGACCCAGCTCTCATTGGTCGCCTCTGTACACCATGGCGAACACTCCTCACGTCACAACATATGGCACACGAGACCCTTCTTCAATTCTTCTCCCCTTTTAATACCCGAATGGCCTGACTTTATTTTGAACCTATATTTAAGGTTGACATCACAATCAATTACACCAATTAGACCTCTCTAGTCACATACTACATTAATTCACTTAATTACCCTTATTAAACTCCGTTAATCGGTTTAAATTTCTAGAATTTACAACTCTCACTTACTTTAAGAATTTTATCCCTAAAATTTGATTAACTACGTAGAACATACCTCACTAGAATAGGTGCAGATACTGTTGTCTCATCTTCTTCTCTGTTTTTCACGTAACATCTCTGGGAGTCATTCCCCTCCATATCTCCTTAACCAGGTGAGTGGTTTTGTTTCGCAGCTACTTCTCTTTGGCTATCTTCTTTGGTTCAATTCGGTAAGTCAAATTCTCCTGTAACTCCACCTGTTTGAGCTCAATTATACGAGACGGGTCGGGTTGGTACTTCTTAAGTTGTGAGACACGAAACATGTCATGTAGGGCTGCACAAAGGACTAGACAGGACTGGACTTTAGTCTAATTCAAAGTTTGATTCCTTTTAGGAAAAAGACTAGATTAGACAACCCATAGTTCGGTCTAGTCTAGTGATAATTCAAAGATGAACAAGATCAGACTTAGTCCATAAGATTAGAAGACTGGTCTTGTTAGTCCAGTACTTACTTAGCTTTTTTTTTGTTTTCCTCTATGGGAGGCAATAATCTATTTCAACCTAATAAACTCAATTAAGATAATATATGTAGATTTCAGATTAAATAAGGGGACTTCTTCAAATTGAATCACATCATATGACATGCTAAACAATAACATTTAGACATTTCAACTTCTAACAATAATCCTTTTTTATGTCTTCATTCATCTAAATTGACTTCATTCACTGTATCATTCATTGGGAAGAAAATGTTCTGCACCATTCATGTGAGAAACAAGAAATTTTTTTAGCATTTATTAAACAAAATAGCCTTACTATAACTCATAGACCTTAAACAAGATCAATTAAATCAAAGCTGTTACTAGCTACAAATTCTAATAGCCCATAATGAAACACAATAAGCAACATATAACCAAACTAGAATTCAAATTTCTTCGCCAAGCAATTCTAGTTCATAATAAAGTCAATTTATTTATACAAATAGAGAGGTTTAATGTTTGAACATCTCTTATAATTGTCTTGACTAGAATTTGCATCCAATTTACACGAGTTATGAAAGCCGACCTAAAACAAGGCTTCCTCAATAAAATATTTGTTATAACCCACTTGATATGTGTTTTTGAGATAGAGATTAGTTGCAGGACCAAGTAGCTTCCTTTGCCACACAAAATGAGATAAATTCCTACAAAATGCCCAGTCCTAATTTCTTAAATTACTTTTGACTGAATGGCAACAATTAATTTATAAAAGTATCAAAACTTGAATTCATGTTGTGTTAGATTTTAAACATAACCACATTTCTCATGTCCTTTATATCAACATTTTTCATGCCAATTAGTCTACTAATTCTAGGTTGAGATACTGACAAAACCTCTTCGACAATGCAAATTAGAATGGCCAAGTTTTGGACAATGCAGATTAACACAACGGTAAAGCTTCAGGAAGGAAAAAAAAACTTGAAAGCTGGCTAAAGATGTCTTTTAACATGGAATGAAATTAGAATTGCTGAGTTCAAAACTAAATGCAGGAAATGAGAATAAAAAATAATGAGGAAACCCAGTGCAAACATACTTGGAGTGCTCAACAATGTGAAGTGCTCGACAATGAATCAGAAGTTAAGGGTGATAGAGAACATGGGTGGGGAAATGATGCGATGTGCTTGATGATGAAACAAAGGCAAGAGGTGACAACCAACTCGAATGATGATCGTGGTGCATTGGCGAAGGGCAACGGCATATGCTAGGGCTTCGTTTGTCTTTATAAGAATAAGAGACTGAGAGTAGCTCGAGTACGTGCGAGAATGGAAGTGACCTAGGGAGAGGGACCTATCTAGCTCGTGTAAGACTTATTAATCAATAATTAAATTAATTTTAATTACAGTAAAATAATCATATAGGACCAGGCCGGACTACTTGATCCAGATGCTTGGTCTCTAGTTCGATCTTACTTGAAAAAAAAACAGTCTTATCTTTTTAGTCCTACAAGACTAGTATTTTATAGGACCAAATTGAACCAGGTTTTCACATGTTAGACTGGATCAGACTTGACTACAAGATTTTTGCACAGCCTTAACATCATATACACTCGATAAATGCGGGAGTAAGGCAATTCGGTATGCTAAAGGCTCAATCATTTCTAGAATTTCAAATGATCTAATATATCTAAAAGTCAATTTCTTGGCTCAAAAAGACCTTCCAATTATAGTCATAGGTGAAACTTCAAGAAAACATGATCACCAACCATAAACTCCAACGGCCTCCTCCTATTATCCGCATAGCTCTTTTGTTGACTTTAGGCAATCAACAACTTCTGTTGAATCATATCTATATTCTCTGTGGTTTGATTTACTAAATCTAGACCCAAAATGCTTTTCTCACTTAACTCAATCCAACATAGAGGTGATCGACACTTCCGATCATACAAAGCTTCATACGAAACCATTTGAATGCTAGCATAAAAACTGTTGTTATAGGCAAACTCTGCAAGTAGTAAATGTTTGTCCTAACTTTTACTGAGTTCAATAGCACAAGCTCTTACCATATCCTCGAGAGTCTGAATTGTCCTCTCGGTTTATCCATCAGTCTGGGAGTGATAGGCTGTACTAAAACCTTGTACCTATGGCTTAGTGTAAAGCCCTCCAAAAATTTAAGGTGAGCCTCGAATTACGATCTAATACAATTTCCTTCGGTACCCCATGTAACTGTACAATCTCCTAGATATAGACTTCAGCAAACTTCTCCAAGGTGTAGTCCCCTCTAACAGCCAGAAAATAAGCCTACTTAGTCGGTTTGGTCCTAATAGAAATCGGCTATTCGATCCCGATAGAAGTCATCCCTCTAATCTTGATCAGCAGTGGCATCTTTTTTCTATTAACTTCGACAGTCCCATCCAATTACCATTGGCAGGCTAATTAAGCTTTCATAGATTTAGGTTAAATTACAAAAGAGATTGAATTAAGATTTGAAATAATAGAGATTTAAAAAAAAGATTTCAAATTATAAAAAGATTGCAATAAAACTTGAATTTGGATTTGACCCAAAATCCATGCATTTTTGATAACCCAAACAATAAATTTGGCTAAAATTTAAATATAAATTATATGAATCCAAATACAGCATTAAATTATATGAATTTTATTAAATTTAAATCTAAATTATATTTTTTCTAAAATAATTTTTTTTAAGTAATTAATTTTCGACCTGTACCGAATTCTTCCTAAAACTAATTAATTAACCCTGGTAAAGCCCATTCTCGGGGGTCGCTGATCCACTTCTCTTCGTCGACGAACAAGCATTACACACTCCTTTGGACGCCGTCTACCGTTGTCAGCCCTGCGTGGTTGTTCTCCGGGAAGTAGTGAAGAAGGTCCGAATCCTAGGGCCTTTTCTACCCCCAAAATCTGGTGAGATTGATTTGTTCAATCTGGCTTCGAATCTAGGTTTTAATTTGGCTTTGAATCTGGTCGTGCAATTTGAATATTGACGCTTTTGAATTTGGGAATATTTACATATTGAGTTTTTTTTTTGTACTACTTTTTTGCTTGGATGGTGTGTAATTGGCTATTGTTCTTCTTCCCTCTTCATCAGTTTGATTACTAGCGACTTTATGGTTTGGATTGTGTTGTTTTGCGATGTCGGATTTGTTGTGTGTTGGCATTCTGTTTATTAATCTTTTTTTATATTATCATCAATTTTGGGAAACTCTCAAGGTATTTGTGATGTGTGATCTTGCAAATGACTTGGCTCGAGTTGTGTCGAAGTGTCTGGAACAAAAAATTAAATGGGTATTATATCAACTATGCATGTTTCAAAGTTTTCAGTGGGAGCATCTGCTCACACTGAGTGTAGTAATAGTATATAGGTCCGCCTATGCTTCATGTAGTGATTTGTAGTTATTGTAACTGAACGTTAAATTGATCTTGACATCAGATTTGCTTTTAATCCCCTGCGTTAGAATCTAGACCGTTGATGAGCCTTAGCTTACATTTATCTTCATCAATAAAGGAGTTTGAGGAATCGTTTGTCAGTCCTGATATTTCTTTTCTTTATTTTCAGTTCACTGATTGTAGTATAGGTCCGCCTATGCTTGTCGCAGTGATTGTAACTGAGCGTTAAATTGCTCTTGACATCAGATTTGCTTTCAACCCCACTACTTTAATCTAGATCGGTGATGGGCCTTAGCTTACATTTGTCTTCATCAATAGAGGAAGAGGAGTTTGAGTAATCATTTACCAGTCCTGTTATTTCTTTCCTTTGTTTCAGTTCTCTGAAGATGTAGTGAGTTGTAACTGTTGAGGACTTGCTTTACCAGTTTATATCCTGGATGGACACCAATAAGAGGCTGACCTGTAATAGTGTTCATGATGTGCTAAACTGCGATGACATACTGCAAGAGATCTTACTTCGACTACCCCCTTCATCTATTTGCAAATTCATTATCACATCAAAGAGATGGCTGCGTGTGATATGCAGCTCTTCATTTTATCGTTGCTATGTGAATAGATGGGGACAGAAGTTTAGACTTTTGGGTTTCTTCGTATGCAACTTTTTATACCTAGGAAGACCCCGTGATGGCTACCAACGCCCCTCTTGGGAACCTGCATTACCATTTTTGTCCACTTGTAAAGAGGGTGATGATCTGAAGTCTTCTGGGGTTCTCAAAAAATTGGGCTACTTTATTGATTGTTCCCATGGCATTCTTCTTTGTGGTCGTCATCCAAAGACTTATTATGTGTACAATTTTAAGAACAAGCAACAATGCAGTCTCCCAGAACCTCAGCAGTTCTACAAAATGTTGTGCATGGCATTCATTGTTGAGGAGTATATTGATGATGCCATTTGCTACAAGGTGATTCGAGCTAAATGCGAGTGCAAACTTAAGGTGCGCAACACAGTTTCTATTGAGACTTTCTCTTCACAAACTGGAACTTGGAAGCAGTCTACTCTAACATGCTCTACAACTTTTGCGTTGCGCCCAAGGACAGTAGCTATGGTGGTCAAGGGCGTTGTTCACTGGTTTGCAATGTGGGGAAACCTTGCTATTTATGATCCACGTTTTGGAGATAGGAGGATAGCTCTGGTAAAACTTCCAGCAGGTGGGCTATCACATGAGCATGAGGAGTCAGTTCTTGGGGAGTCATCTGATGGGCTTTTACAGTATGGTCAGAGCAGTAACTTGGGTGTGGAGATATGGGTTCTTGAGAATGAAGAAGGAGCTAACTCATCCACTTACAGAAACTGTGCACATGTAAGGAAGAAGTGGATTTTAAGGTGGAGGCTAAATTTTAAAGTAATGTGGAAGCAAAACCCATCTCTCAGCATGCAATGCAAAGAATCTCAGATACTATCATTCCTTCCTCAGAATTCTCAATCTATCTTTATCAGATCGGGGTGGAACATTTTTCAATGTGATCTAGAGACCAGAACGGTGGAAATAATTTATTATCAGGGCCGTGGAGCTGCCATTTCATGGGAGTCAAGTAAAGTTGTACCTTACTTTCTACCAGCTTGGCCATTGGCTTGTGTGTCATAACAAAAGTCTTGACACGAGGCTGGATTTTCTGTTGAATTAAGTAGAAAACTTACAGTGTTTGATGTATTTAAGTTGTATGTATGGGTGATGAAATTTCAATTCTAACTTCTCTCCATCATAGGACCTTCATTTTCTCATGGTTCCAAGACATTTGGGCTATCTTGCGTCATATGGGTTTAATTAAAGCAAGGAAAACATTTCTTTTGTAATAGTATGTTAGAAGGTAAGATGAATGTAGAGAACTTCTTTTCCCCAATTTTTTTAGGAGCTTGAAGACTCTAGAATCAGATTTTGCCTCGACTGGATGGATACATCCCTTTTGTTTTTGGGGGTAGCTTCGTTTCTATTAACAAATGAAGGCTTTAAGCATTTTACCAACATAAAAAATAAATTGTTGGTACTTTAGAATCGTAAAGTGCTCTTGATATGATGCCCATTTGGTATCAAGGGTTTTTGAAGGAAACAGAAATCGGAAAAGAAGTGGGATAGGGAAAGAGATGGAAATGAACGTGAAAAAAAAACATATATTTGTATTTATTTTCACAATTTTTTTTTTGAGGCGTTTGAATTGATATTGCATAAAATTGATTATGTACGAAATTGATTTACATGATTGATTTTGTTTTGTAGTAGTTGATTTATAAAATTGATTAATAAAATAGAATTGATTTTGAGTATAATTAAAAAGAAGTATTGAAAATAAAGTAAAATCATAATTTTAAATTCATCATTAATTTTGATATATTTTTACAAAATCAAGGTTTTAATTAATTTTGGCATGGATTCAAACAGACACGAAAATATTTGGTAGGTAAATGTAACCCAAGAATACTTTTTTTTTTTTTTTGGGGTGAAAAATCAACAACAACTTTATTGCGATACATGCATTTATAGTATCAAAACATCAAGATACTTTTGTCCAAAAAAAAAATCAAGATTTTAATCAATATTTTAAAAAAAACTGCCCGTTTGATTTTTAATTTGGATTTTCAAAAAGACCTTTGAAATGAAATTTGAAATCATATGTTGTTGGTTTTTCAATCTCTATCAAAAAATTCATTTAAAAAGTCATCTTTAGATATTGTTAAATGTGCTTTTTGGCCAAAATTTAGAATTTTCTTACTTTTGAAACTTATATTCCAAAATCATACACTCATTTATTCAAAAAATTTTAAATATAAATTTCATTGCAATAATTAATTTTTGGTTAAATTATACTTTTAATCATTTAATTTTATATAAAATTTTAATTTTATAAAATATCTTTTTAATCCTTTAACTTTAATATTGTTTGTTTTAAATGATTACTTTTTATGTCAATTATTATTATTTAAAAATATAAATATAAAATGTCAACATTTGAAAATATTTTATTAATATTTAAAAGTTTATTATAAAAATTTGTTGAAAAAAAACTAATAATATTAGAATTAAAGAATTAAAAAAATATTTTATAAAATTAAAAGATTGACATGAAATGTTATATAAAGTTAAAGATTTAAATATATATTTTAAATTAATTTTGATTAAATAAATTTTTAACAGGAACTTTTAATAGATTAAAAATCGAAGGCACATGTGGTTGTTCAAAAGGGAAAGGCATGATCCTTGTCATTGATGTTGTCGGAAAGGGAGGCGATTGCGTGAGATATGTGTGAAAAGAGGAATAGGATTCGGCTGTACTCCCTTTGCTAATTATTATACCCCCTTTTTTTTAAAAAAATTCATTTTTAAATTATATAAATGGTTATTAATTAATATTTTTTAATTTCATCCTCGATGCAAATTACTAAAAAAATTAATTTTAATTTAACGTTTCTGTATTGTTCATGAAATATTATATTTTCTCTTTAATAAAGGCAAAGTTAAAATATTTTTTAATTTTAAGATAAATCTAATGAATTTAACTGTTATCTTGATTTTGATGAATTAGTTAAAAGTAATTTGTAATAGGGATAAGAGGGAGTAATTTGAGAGGGAAAGATTGTCATTACATAAAATAATTGAGGACATAATGGTGAGAGAAAAAAAGACATTTCTTGAAATCTTCAACCACAACCTCAATCTTCACTAGTTGTTTACGATAGCCAATTCTATCGATCTTTTTAAGTGGGTCATAATTTCTTACACCCAAACAATTAAAAATCAGAGCTCCAACCCCTCAACTTTTATCCTGTCAAATGGGCTTTTAGACTCAATATTCTTTTAGAAAAAATATCATTCAAGGACCATTGAGCATATTTGATATCAATTAGAGACCAAACAATTATAAAATATCATTGCAAGATTGATAGGCTAATTTAAAAATAATTGTATATGAAAAAAATATTATAATACCCTTATTTATCTTTTTTAATTAATAAGTAATCATTCATTAATTAATAAATAACCATTTGTATTTAATAAGAAGTCATTCGCTAATTGACAAGTTTAAAAATATAAAAAAGTATGGTTGTGGGAAAAGATAAGTATAGGTCATATTTTTATAAGTAACAATTTGTTAATAAACAAATATCCATTCACATTTAATAAGAAGTCATTCGCTAATTGATAAATTCAAAAAATTGAAAAAGCTTGATTGTGAGAAGGGATAAGTATATATCAGTAGTTCTTAAATGATATTTTCTAGTTAAGAAAACCTGTTTTTTATGCATATTTTTTATAAACAGGATAAAACAACCAACTTCGCTGCTGATACAAATATACTTGCATTTTTCCATTTTGACCTTGATTATTTAAATAAAACAGTAAAAGAATTATCCTGTTTTCTGTTGTATCTAAGACAACGTGCTGAAAAGCCAAATATACTTGCTTTATGCTTTTCAGTCGCGCACCCTTTGTACAACTATGGAAGATCGGCATTGCATGGTCGCTGTTGGAAGTGATGAAACAAATACATGATGTTAATTCCATTGACCTCTTTCTGATGCATCCAAAGTCAACAATTCAGCATTCCGTGATAACAATTAGCTGACTTGTTGTCTCTCGACGTGCAGTTCATCAACTCCGCCAACAAGGCCGTCAATCTGGGCTTGGCAACAAGAAACTAAAGCCAGAGTTGTCCCGAATAAGTGGTGGGGCCTCAACATCGGAAATATCTATTTGTTCCATCGACCTTGACAGATCATCAACGGAAAACGGAATGCTGTAAAGCAAAAAATTCCAAACAGTTAATGCCAACCACAATTTCTCCATATGGATTCCAACGAGATATTTCGCTTACAGAAGATTATTAAACATGTAAACAAAGTATACGGGTTTTCCTTCGCTCCAAATCCAGTGTGCAGTATAACGGCAGGGCAACTGTGTTAGTATTTACTATGCAGTTCATTTTCGATAGGTATGCTTCAAGAATTTCTCAAATTAATTTACAATGTTAAGCATTATTTGGCCTTCAAACTTACAAAAAAGGCGAAATCAAATATTAGTGATAGTTGAAATGAAGAAAAAAAATCACTTGTTTGATTGATATCACCTTACCTTGAATCATCATCCAACAGGAAAGAACTACTAACAGCGTTATTTGAATCTTCAGTCATCAACACTCTCATATTGGAAATGACCTAGATGAAAACATCGATAAGGTAAAGCTTAAACACAGTTTTCCAGCACGTTTTCTTCCTGAAGCTATCATGCTGCTGTTCACGAAAAGATAACTCCAAGCCTATTTTTGAACAAGGTTTTCTGAAGAAACTCACATCAGGTGACACGCTATGCGTTCCATACTTGTCATCCCAGTACATTGTGCTAATCCGATACAACTGCTGGATGCTGAGGACCTGTAAATAGTGCAATGAGGTTGGGACTCGTTCAGGTAACTGTATCCTCCTCCTCCATAATAAGTAAAATTGCCTTCACTTACCGGGCACAGGTCATGGCTTATTTCATCCAGTGTTTTCTTAGGTTTCTGGTGTATGACCTGAACGAAGGGCAGAAAAGATGAGATGCTATATGTGCTATCTTAGCATCAGAACAAGTGCTACGCAGGTCAGAAAGATACCAGAAATCCAATCGCCTGTCTGATATGCTTCAGCTCATCCCACGCTGAACCTGCATACTGCATCATTTTTGGGAGTGGGAAGGGGGCAGGGAAAATGGGAGGTTAGTAGTTGCACCTCATCAACAGAACTGCACAAGCTCAAGAGCAGAGAAATTAAGGCACCTCATCTGTTGCCTTATAACACCAATGCTCCAATTCAGCCAAACCAGCCTTGACATATTCTCCATTACTAAATGAGCAGCACTCCCTTCTTAAAAGGAGACTGTGACAAGAAATAAAATGTGGAATGATAAAATTATTTTGCAGAACAGAAAACAATCCCACAAACTATGTAAGTAGAAGTATACTAACCTATTAAATAGTTGGACATTGATGAAAGAAAAAATTTGAGTGAACACCTTACGAACTAAAAATGGGGGAACCTGTCCAAATGAAGCAGAAAAATAAAACACACGAGAAAGAAGAACCCCCTTCATCCTTTTGAAGAAAAAGTTCGTCTTAAGTTTAAGCCCCCTTTAAGTTATGTTTAATATCTGAAATGGAGAATATTTTTGTTAATTTAGAACTTGACTGCAATATAACAGAGGCCCGTGCAATTTAGAATCATAAGGGTCAGCAAAAAAAAAAAAAAAAGCATGAAGACCCATGAGTCATGACCATAATACAAATATAACAAATATAAAGGGGCAAAGACAGAAGGATGATGTCAAATGAGATTCTACTAACATGGTTTGCTTTCAAAGTATTCAAAAAGTTCCCAAGACTCTTAACTATCCCCTGCCAGTGAGCAATCAAAGCTTTCTGAGCTTCAGTATTTGCAAGTGAGAGTGATCCCTTAACCAAGCTTGCTCTGGATGTTCTTGGTGCCTATCTCATCACAATTAAACAATTACAATTCAAATCCCTAAATTTGATAGAAGGACGACAAATGAAGTCAACAAAGATCTTTGAAAACAAAGAAATAGTTACCTACCTGGATGCACAACCCTAGCAGGGGGGAATTTCTTTCTTTAGATTATCTCGAATCATTCCATATATTTTTTCTACATATGCAGTAAGCTGCTGTTTGAAAAGCAAAGCTGGGTACTTGGCTTCGACTTGTCGTAATGTGTCTACACCACCGCTTATGCTACCATTGATTAAGGAGAGATTAACTCCTGTTGGGGTTCCACGGAAACTCTGAAACAACAAGGATAATTATCTGGAGCGTGAAAGCTTCTCTACAGGTATGACTCTGTTGAAATAAGAACATTATCTTTACCTGTGTCATTCTCCCAAATAGGGTTGCGGATGAAGAACGACGGCGTTGTGGGGCCATTCCAGCAGCACCACTTGCCTTGAGTGTGCGCTGGAGTAACAATAGAAGTGTGGATGCATTGGATAACCAATAAGCCAAGACATCATTGTTGTCCTGGGTCTGAAGTCCAAATAAATTTGGAGTTAGGAAGTTAGTAAAGTCAAGAGTGAAAGAGTACAGCATGCTAGAGTTTCGCCTTTGACACCTCAATTGCATTGCCAATAGTTTGAATGATACGATCAAAAACACTAGTACGCTCTACTTCAAATGATCTCCAATGCAAGAGACATTTGTATATGATACATGCAGCAATAGGTCTGTTCCCCGCAAAGCCTACATGTTGTGCAATACATCTGATGAGCAAGTCTTGATTTTCCTGCTGTTTCTCATTTAGTGACTTTTGTGGTTTATCATCTACTTCAGCGTGTTCCCTCTGGTTAATTGACGAGCTATAAAGATCCTGATTAGTTTACCAAGTGGCAAAAAAGAGAGTCAGATCCACGTAGTATCCCACCCAAATAAACAGTGATACAAAATAGTTACATACCACGGGTACCTTCGCTTCTCCGACTATATGGCCACTTTCAGAACCTCTCTGACATGAGGTCAGAAAATATATTAAACTAAACACCAAGCTTTATGTTGTTATCATGTACATAAGAAGCGTTCCAAGGAATACCTGTATGATAGATCTAGAGCGTCCAGAAAGGAACTTGTTTGGTGTCATGGATACAGCTTGCTGACGTAGAACCCGATTCTCTGATTCTAAATTAGTAATTTTTTCTTCCAACCTAATCAATCAATTATGAGATTTTAACCAATTATCTCAGCAAATTGATGAGTGATTACGACCCATTTTTAAGGATGAAATTAGGTATAAAAAAATTTACCCAGGTACTCCACAAGAAAATAGTAAATCTTGCAAAAGAGGACTTCAGTAATGCAAGAAATTTGTAAAATCTCAAATAATAAATGGATGCTTTAGGTCAACATTTTGAAAGTTGGTCTTTGATTATCATGGAAAAACAATAACACCAAGCACCTTTATTACCTGGTTAACGATTCCTGGAGTTGACCAACCTTCTTCTCTGTCTCCTCTAATTTTTTACCCTGTTCTTCAATAAAAGCTTGAGATTCATTGTATTTTCTTTCAAAATCTTCAACTTTTTGTTTCTCTGACTCTAATGAGGTCTGTGTGAACATAAAGCCCAAGATAACATCACTTAGGTAACTTCATCATGATATGCTGCAGACAATAACTTCAGTTCATCACCAATGACTTGAGCGGAAATTAGTCTACCTCTATTCATTTAGTGATCCAGTCAAAGGATAATTTTAAAAAAAAAATCTGAATTTTACAGCAAACTATTTGCATTCCTTGGTACCATTGTGGTTTAATTGAAAGAAATAATCCGTTCTTCCTCATTTGAACCATCACTGCCACTCGAAATAAGCTGTCATTAACTATTTTTCCGTTTCCCATTGACTAGGAATTATTCCATTGCAATAATAATAAAAGGAAAGGAATTCACAAGATATGATTTCATTACGCTTCTCAAATTTACAAGAAAGACATGACAAATTACGTCATTACATTGAGAGCCATCCAAAGGCAGTTCTCCTATCAACACTCTAAAGACAATAAAACTTGTACTCAGTTCTGGAAAATTCTACAATGACATGAATGATCCATTTATTTGATAAGCTAGGTTATATATATTGTTGTATCATTCAATGTAATGTCCAGAACAGAACAAAAAACGTTGTTTTCTAGGAATGTTGTTCAATCTGATATACTGATTTGTAAACCTTCCACCAACTTTTGTTTGACTTAACCAGTCAAGGAAGCGTAAAAAGAGCAACCTTTTGTTTGGAGGCTGACATAGTTGTTTCTTTACAAAGTACATATAGGTAAACATGCTTCCAATATTTAAAGGAGCCATAGATGCAAAACAAGACACATGCTTGAAAGTAAAGTTGCCTAGCAGCACATTAAGGTCTAGTTAGAATGAACTTTCTTACCTTCAGACTCTCAACTTCCCCCGTTAGTGACTCAATCTTTTGTGTGTCTTCCACAAGAATTTGTGTTTCTTTAATAACAGGAGGTGCTTCTTCTACAACTTTCTTTGCATTCTCCTTCTCCTTGACAAGTAAAGCATTAGTTTCATCAATCTTGTTCTGCATCTCCTGTAGCGAGTTCTGCAGTTTTGCTACTTCTTGTGCTTTGGCTTCTTCTAGGTTAGTCTGCACAAAATTTTGTAGTATTTTTAGGGCTTAAAAATACAAAAGTTTAGTTTTTCTCCAAAATTCATGATTACATACAATATCATAAAAACAAAAATTTCGAACATGATATCCATCCACAAAACACCCATGTTACCCTTAAACTTTTTTCTAATTGCAGACGCCAAGTGAGTTCCTCCACTCGTTTTTCCAGCTTATCCTTCGCTTCTTTAAGCGCGCCAGTTTCTCTTGCAGCCTAGAGCAAATAAAAGTTATTTTTAACTTATAGTAGATAAAGAGAAATTATAGCAAGAAAATCAGTAAAAAGAGGACGTACTTGCCACACAGATATCACAGTTAAGACAGTATGTGAGTTCTATTATGTAATAGGATAAATATAAAAAAATACAAAATCACAATAAGGACAGAAACATGCCATTTTGAGTTTCCTAAGTTCTCTCCTGGCCAACCGCCCCCTCCATCTGCATTGTGCAACTATTGTACTTTTCTTGAGCCTTTTATAGTATAAAGTAGCCTTCCGGCATCGCCACCAGGCCTGCAATTTTTAAGTGAGAGTATTTATTTATGAACATTGTAGACTGATACTGGGCAGATCATCTCAATCACATAGTACAAAGTGACCTGAACAATGACTGCAGCTTTAGTCTGCTTCCTAAATCTGAACTGATTACGAGCACCCATTGTCCTTAAACCTGTTTGCAAGATAAGTACTGAAGCATGGAATCTTTTATAGGCTTTCCTAGCTGCATATCCGCGCACGTTTTTCTGAATTTTCTTTGCAGCAGCCTCCCTTCTCATGTTTTCATAATCTTTGCATGCCAGTCTTCCTACGGATCATATATCATGCATGTTAATTGAATATAGTAACAAAAGACTGATTAAGCAGTGGAGTGTGTCCTACACTCCATCCTAATTGGGGAAGCCCATAATCTTGAAAATTGCATAGCATCTGGCAAGTAACTGACTTGGTTGATAAACTTTTGGAGTATCTCACCTCTACATAGAGATTGCATGAATACAGTAGTTCTATGCAATGCAAGATAATGATTACGAGCTTGATGGGTCCGTATGCGACGTTGGATAATTTTGGCTGCCCGACTGAGTACTTGAGCCCTCTGTGCATCAAGTTCAGCCATCTGACCAGCTCTCAGGAATATCTTTGTTTTCCCAATCTACAATTCACAGCCAATCAAATATATTTTCAGGCCTTGAAATATGGTGCCATTAATATTTCTATGCATGTAATACAATCATACAAGATCCATGTTCACATTTGTTTGTAATAGCTGCAAGAGGTAATATATTTTAATGCTACTGCATCCATAGAATTTAGTTCTTTAAACGAGCAGTGATTTACTTTAGCGGTCTGTGACAAATATAATGAGCGTAACTATTTTGGCTAAACATTTTAAGTACCTGATATCCCTTAAGACCCACTTTTTCCAGAATCTTTTGGCAAACAACCTTTTCATCAGAGCTGCTCATAGAGGAAATAAACTTGTAGATCAGTGCAGTCTTGGCACGAAGCAGGTGATATGCTAAAAGTACTTACTTTCCATCCACAACTTCTGGGGCAAGGATTCCAAATCTGTGAGCAAATTCAAAGAAAAGACGGCGAGTAGGGTAACCAGCGCAACTAATTCTGATTGCCTCTAGAACACCCTATAGGGGCAAGTGTAAGCAATTGCCAAAGGAGGGGAATTAGAGACACAATTATGGATATACTTTTATACAAACCATCATCCAAAGAAAGAAATAGAAGTTGGATATCAAGGCATACTTACGCCACAGCGAAGTTGTTGCATAATGTTGATATTCTCAAATATTGCAGGCTTAAGGACATTGTTTGGTTTTATACACCTGACATAATGAGGTTCTGTCGAGTTCAATGTCTCCATTAGTTGCTGTAGTTGTAGCTGCACCATTCAGATTGTGAAAACATGGTTTTTTAGCTTGCCCATAGTAAAGTACATTTCAATTTTTTAAGGTTGTGACATGAGCTTCTACGTGTCAAAGCTGGAATATTATCTGTTATTTAAGGACATGTTGTGCAGGTATACAAGTGAACGAGGAAATAATGACACCTTAAAACGGGAAGCTATTGAAGAAAACTTCGACGACTTAGATGTCTCTTCTGGAAGAGGAGGAAAAAGACCTGCTACGAAAGGACATTTGGAAGCACTCAACAAATCTTGATGTTCAGGAACCACGTAATCTTTATTTTTATCTAAAAACTGGTCCGACTGGTATAAGACCTGCCCATTTTATGAGTGTAAAAAGCAATAAGCCAAAATGTGTCATTTCTTAAGCATTTTACGTGATGATAATTAGTCATACCTCCCCAGCATAATGAGCAATGGTGAAATCTGTTCGAGACAATTTTGGCTTTATAAAACGCTTGTGAGTCTTGAATGATTGATAAAGCTTATTTGCAAATGTTTCATGTGTTGACTTGGGAAACATGCTGAAAGGCAAAAAAGAGAAATAAGAGAATGAAGGAGTAAGCTCAATATGGTATATAACTATGTGACGAGGACAATTAGACAAAAAGAATCGGATGAAAGCTAAACATGTTCCATCTTTCCATCCAAAGGCATGAGTCAAGAAAACATTGAGCAAGTTATGGGAGCCCTACTTTGGAGGAAGAAATTCAGAGGACCCAAAACAAGAAAAGATAATAACATTGTTTTACCAAGCCTCATCGAGCAGAGCGACGATTCCTCCAGGTTTCTGCAAAAGAAAAGTCAACAAGAAAGACTAGTTAAAAAAATGGGGAAAAGAGATGAAAAGCCAATTAAGGTAATGAATTTTGACAGACTATAAAATAAGACGAGAAGCATAAAACTAGTAGAAATTAACTCAGAAGTAAACTTCTTGATTGTTCACTTGTTGTCAAGAACCAATGCATTCCAAAAGCTAAAATTGTTAGAAGGTTCTTCAATGGTTTACTTAAAGCACAAGTCCCCCATATCCTGTACACTTTGCCCTGTTTCTCTTTTCTGTTAAAATAAGGTAGTAAGTGTTCCGCAAGTCCGTGTCTAACATTCATAGAAAGTTATCAACAGTTTGTTTTCTCGTTGTTTATAGATGGTGCAGGTTCACAAAAATAGACTGCAGTATAGCCTTAAAACAATAGATAAATTACACTAGGAAACATCAAAAGGATCATCACTAGAATATTTGAAAGCATAAATATCTCCAACTTTTTTGTCTCTGGACAATTCAGTTGACCATTCTGCAAGAGATCAACTAATCGGTCACAATTTCATGAAAAAAGAGTGTGTGAGAAAACCTTTTCAATAAGGTCTAAAACATCTTGATTATCAACAAATTCAATGTAGCTCCAATCAATCTGCTCCTTTGTATATTCTTCTTGTTCCATTTTAAACACGTGCTGCAGATCGTCAGACTTATCAAATGTGGAAATATAATATATGCAAGAAACTGAAATGCTCAATGCGGTCTGAGATTATGCCTGATTGAAATGTTGCTGCAACTTCTCATTTGTGAAATTGATGCAGAACTGCTCAAAACTGCAGAGCATGATATGCTGAAATTAAGTTACAAAGGATTGAAAACAAGCAGTGGCTGTTTGTTACAACACGTAAAGTATTGCACACTCATTGATACACATGTTTGACTCCACTATAGGTTACCTGTTAGTTTTAAAGCTTTCAAAACCATAGATATCAAGGACCCCAATCAAACATTTGGAATTTGGATCTTGTCCGATTGAATTATTAATCTTGTCCACCAACCTGCATAATCCCAGACAATTGCACTTAGCACCAAAACCACGTCTTATACTATAAAAGGCAGAAGATATGAAATTTTCTCCATTTAAAGCATCTTACCAGTCAAATAGCCGAGAATAAATTGTTTTTGCCAAGCCATCTCTACTGATTAATGCACTTTGGGGGTCAAGGCTCCGCTTTATAACTTCTTCAGGGGTGACCATGACGCGTTTGCACAATGCATCTTGTAAGGCATCAGCATCACACCTGATAAAACATGAAATATGATTATGACAATCATCTTAAAGGTAATTGAAACCCATAGCAGCAAACATACATGAGAAGCTCTGCAGTTGTTTTCAAGTGGAATTTGGCTTTGTCATCTTTTGGAACTGATGAGTCAACTTCCTTTCCTTTGGCAAAAGCAATATTACCAAGATGAAGAATTGCAGCGACAACTCGGAAAATTGCATCCTGAGGGGGGAAAAAGTAGGGGAAAGCAGAGTCTCAACTCAACCATTCCATATTCTAGCAGTATGGAAGTTAAATACATGGCCATGATTAGACATACCTGATCTTTTTGGCTTATTCCAACAACATCCATAGCTCGACGGGTGGCAAGATACTCACGAGCATCACTTACATCAGCCAGTTCATAAAAATTTGATTGGTTCAGGTAGTGAAATGATCTAGGACTATCTAATTTGTATTTCTCAATTTCCTGCCAACAAAAGTTGCAATAATTTATTAAAAGGAATTATCACAAGCCATGAGTAGATTGCTGACAATAAGACACCTCGTGTGGTGCAGCACAAAGGAGATAAAAGCAGTGGTAGTTGCGTTCAGGATCGTTAATTTGGCAGACCCGAGACCTCTCCAGAAGGTAAGTTCGAATGGCTGCTCCTGAGATTCTTCCACTCTTATCAAATTGGATCTCAACAAATTTGCCAAAACGGCTGCATCATTGAAAAAAAAAACAGAAAATTTGAAAACAACTGTCGGCAACAAATTTTGAGATAATCAACAACAATCCAGGAAAAGAACATTTTCATAAATGGCAATCTATCCAACAACTATTATCAAAGCCAAATTGAGTTTTTGTTGCTGCATGTGGTATGACAGAATGTAGTGAGAAGAAGTGAAGTATCTTGTGCATCAGCCTATCATGGTGAACAAAAAATAAGTAATACTTCACTGCCTCTGTGAAAGAGGCACACCTCGAATTGTTATTCCTTACAGTCTTTGCATTGCCAAAAGCTTCAAGAACTGGATTTGACTGCATTCAATTTATTATTCAGGGTCACATATAATTCCATATCAAATTAAAAAATGGAATGTTATTGACAAAGGAATTCAAATTGTTCTTTTACAAGTATAGAATGAGTAGTTCATTGAATCTTACTTCAAGAACTTGTTGTTCAACTGTTCGTCCTTCAGTAGCAGCCCTACCGCCTAAGAAAGCTAAGTATCGCATAAGCATTTTCGTAGTTTCAGTTTTACCGGCTCCACTTTCCCCGCTGACCAAAATTGAGTTGCTTTTTCCTTCGTTAATCATTGCCCTGATTTTTGTAAAAGCATCAATTAGATATTTGGTTCGATAACAGTAACAAAATTTGGCCATAAAACAAATACCTATATGCAACATCAGCTACTGCAAAAACATGAGGACTTAGTTCTCCGAATGGTGCTCCCTTGTACTGTTGCATCATGTGAGGATCATAAAGATGAGGTAGTCTTTGGAATGGATTTATGGCAATGAGAATATTTCCAGTATAAGTCTGCGGTTACAATGACAAAATGAGAAGGAAATATGCATTTTAGAATGATGAACTTTGCATAGCACGTCATATTAAAGGAAAGAAAGCCTTACATATATTTCATTCAATTCATATCGAGATTTTAGGTTCTGCAGGACACCAGGCTCATGCAAATAAGACAGCTTTGTCATATCATCCACTCCACCAGCAGGAGCTTCCATATCTTTGGGATATATTTTTGATAATTTTGCAGAAACCTTGAAAACCCCAAAGTAGAAGTTGAGGTGGTAATTCAGATTTAATTTTTGCCTTAATCTGTTTCTGTAGTTTTGTATCCATTTCCAATTGATGATACAAACATGAGCGAAATTGATGCTTCATAAGAGAATGCATTGTTATGCTTACAGAAGTAGAATCATAGACATATTTTTCTTACTGCAGCATAGTATGCCCCTGCAGTCATTCAACTAGGGAAGAAAAAAGCAAGGAACAAAATAGAGGTAGAATTAGGAGGTCAATGATTTTGAAAGCCAATTTTGAGGAACTTAAACATGTACAAGTGTGATTGTAGATCTTGAAAGGCGATTTAAAGATAAAGCACAGCATAGGAACTATGAGAAAGAGAGAAGGCTCGTGCATGGATCCTGCCCTTACATTATTTTACTAAAAATGTAGCAAGTCCATAAGGAGGAGTAAATCATTCTTGCCATTATGATTTTCTCTTTCTTTTGCATTAACTGTAGTCATACAAGAAATAAAACTCAATCGTTTATCCATCCAAGATTCCGGAGTAATAATGCCAGGATGAAAGTCTGATAATTGAGATACATGGCTTGTTATTGCTAAAACTGACATCATATCCATGCAGATGGGGAACCTATAACAACATTGAAAAAGAAAAACGCCCAGATATAAAGGATGAAGGAACAATTTATTGGCAATATACAAACCTTTTTTCCATTGGTAGTTTCAATTTCAGCATCTTTTCCAGTGATTTTTGATACCTGTCCATCAATCCAAGCAACATCTGGATCTTCAATCCAGACATGAGAACCTGCAATGATATTCACCGGAGTTCCCTACAGATGGAGATGCGGAATCACCTTTTCTGTTTTTAATAGACTGACAGAAAACTTTACATTCTTATAATGTGAATGGGAGAAGGATTATAAAATTCTAAAATTCAAAGCAATAAATTAGTTCCTTCCTTGTATTTAGACACAAAAAGCTAACATCCAAATAGAACGTACTGGAGTGCACCGGATTGTTTAATACAAAAATAATAACAATAAATAGTAACCAAGCAGTTGAGTGCCACAAACCAGACGTTAGAGGATAGGTTGAGTTAATAGCTATAGGCAAGATCTCATACATCATCTTTTTTTCCCCCTCGTGTTTTTAAACTGGAAGATCACTAACTTTCTTTGGATCCAGTAGGAACGTAAATAATCACTTGCTATGGCATCCTCGCACTAACTCAGAATCTATAAATCTATGTCTCATGATATTCAATCGATGTTCAGGTTCAGCACCCAGTCAGAAACTAAGATTACCCATTAGCTCGTGACAAAACTTCTTCGTAGTCAACTAACTTTTGTATTAATTTTACTACGTAAAAAAACAGCTGCTCAGGCCATGTGTGCGTGCACCAGTGCAGGTGTGCATCCAATGAGAGGGTAGAAACCTGTTCTTCCAATATCTACAGAGCTATACATGAATGCTTATCTGAGTGCAATATATTCCAATATGATTATGTTCTTTCACATTTTACCAGTGATGATATGATCCATTTTCCATGTTCTTTCAGATTCCGAATACTGTAAGTTGATACTACAAGGGGACGAAATTAAGCTGGTACTCGTTGCCCAAAAAAATATACAAGTGCTCTATTTTAAGGAATCGCTTGAGTTGAGACTTATTTGTCCCCTCACT